GTGCAGGTCCCGCAGCGCGTCCCCGCCGCGCCCGTCCAGGAAGAAGGCGGCCGCAGCGCGCGTGACCAGCAGCGCGGCCAGGCGCTCCCCTGGGGACGAAGCGGAGGGTTAGCGCCTGGACCGGGCCCGAAACACCAGCCCCGGAGCGCAGGGTCCAGAAGCCCAGGGACAGGGCTGGAGCAGAACCAGACCCCCACCCCGTCTGCCCCCTGCCCTGTGTGCCAGCAGCGCTGACCCCTGCCCCATGAGCCAGCAGCGCTGACCCCCACTTGACAGCCGTGCAGCGATGGAGCCCTGAAGCCACAGGACCCCCCCCCCCAGGGCCGCAGGCCGCAGGAATGCAGTGAGTGCCGGGGAAGACCCCGCCTCCAGGCGAGTGTGAGCCTTCCTTGGCTCTGTGGTGGGCAGAGGTCACCTTCCCCAGGACCCAAGTCACAGAGGTCAAGGGTCACCTCACCACCAATCCCCTCGCCCAACGTAGTGTATGATGAAAATGGAGGCGTTATTTCTATAAGGAAGTAATCCAACAAAGAATTATTTCTACGAAGAATTAATTCTACAATCAACTGTTCACAAATGTACCTTCCTAAGCCATATGCAGGTGGGTCACACCTGTCATCCTAGCTACTCAGGAGGCTGAAATCTGAGGATTGTGGTTCAATGCCAGCTCAGGCAGGAAAGTCCGTGAGACTCTTACCTCCAATTAACCACCAAAAGCCCAGAAATGGAGCCGTGGATCAAGTAGTAGAGTGCTAGCCTTGAGCAGAAAAAGCTAAGGGACAGCATCCAGGCTTTAAGGTTAAGCTTCAGTACTAGCACAAAAAAGAAAATTATAAACCTTCTGTTTGCACCAAACTATAGAAAATAAAGAGGTGAATCCACAAATGTAGAAAAGATTTTTCAAATAAACAATAGCCTAGAAAAAAATGCAGAATATCTGAAGCGTTCTGACCTAGGGATAAGAAAAAAAAAAATCCAAGAATTAACAAGGGCTGGGAATGTGACGTAGTGGTAGAATGCTTGCCTAGAATACTGAAGCCCTGGGTTCAATTCCTCAGCATCACATAAGCAGAAAAAAAAAACAGAAGTAGCTCTGTGGCCCAAGTGGTAGAGTGGTGGCCTTGAGCAAAAGAAGCTCAGGGACAGCAACCAGGTCCTAAGTTTGAGTCCCGGGACTGGCAAAATATAAAAGAAGAAGAATTATTAACGAGTGCATTTCCCCATAGAGAAAACAGATATCCAATAAAACACGTGGAGGATACTTGACATCACAGTAATGACACAAATGTGTGTTAAAGCAGTGAGACCCTGTCACCTTTCTACCCACCAGACTGAAAAGAAAATGGAAATTAAAACAACAGTGGCATAGCAGTGTATGTCTCTCCCTGGTCTGTAGTGTTAACTTTACAAGAGAGGATCCTGGATCTGCTAATAGTGTAACTGCTTCATTGGGTGCATGATCCACAGGTAACAATAACTAAAATCATGTGAAATACTGAAAGCCGCTCCTTGAAGCCACTGGACAGCACCCGGCGCAGGCAGACATTGAAGCTGTCCCTGAAAGCCGGGACATGTGGCAGAAGTTTGCACGCTTGTGCCCTTTGCCTTTGCCAATTCCTTAATCTATGTTTCAGGCACAAGAGAAACCTGCAGCTTTATTGTCCTCAGATGACATAAGACAGAGCTCAGAGCCCTGGAAGTTAGGAGAAAATCCTGAGACAGGAGCCACAGGAGGGGTAAGATACAAAACCCGTCCATTAAATCCGCTTACGTCCTGGGCAGACCGCCGAGTCTTACAGGAAAACTAAGTGACCTGTAAAATGCATAAGTGGTTCTAGAACTGCGTAGAATGTCCAACAGTGACAAAGGCTTGCAATTCTAACTACTCAAAAGACAAAGGCCAGAGGATCAAGGGTTCCCACCAGCCCGGGGTAAAGATAGTGAGTTTGTATCTCAAAAACAAAACACAACCACAAAGGTCTGGGTGTCTAACCCAGGTGATAAGTAGCTTGGGGCCCTGAGTTTAATCCTCAATTTAAAAAGGGAGCTAAATGCAGATGTTGACCCTCAGAAGAACAAAAGACAGAATTTGAATTTGAATTCAACCAACTGAACTTCTTACTGAAACAAAGCCCAACCCTAGTCTGAGGGCCATACCTGAACCCAGAGCTCTCCAAAGCCTTAACCAGACCTCTAGTGTGCAATTTAAAGAGATATCTGATGGGGCTGGGGACATAGGTCAGTGGTCTATGCACCTGCCTTGTCTGTCTAAGAGACTGGCTTTGTTCTCCAGGACCAAAACACACACGCACGCACACACACACACACACACACACACACACACACACACACACACACACAGAGTAAAGAAGCAGAATAGGCTAGTGAGCAATGCTCACCTGTAACCCCAGCACGCAGGAGGATAGCAGGTTTGAGGCCAACCTGGTCTAGTTTCTAAAGTGAGTTCAAGGCCAGCACACATACTCCATAGTGAGACCCAGCGTCAAAATTAATAAGTCCTGAACCACAACCAGAGGAAAATCAACAGAAGCTGACTTCACAGTAATCCAGATGCCAGAGTTAGCTAACGAAGGACTTTAAAGAAAGTGAGTATATTCAAGGACTAAAGAAATGGGGTTATAATGGATAAACAGATGTAGAATCTCCATAGATCAACAGAAACAATTAGAAAGAACCAAACAGCCAGTCACGTGGCTGATGCCTGTAATCCTAATCCTGCTACTCAGGAGACTGAAATCTGAGGATCACAGTTGGAAGCCAGGCAAAGCAGGAAAGTCTGTGAGACTCTTTTTTCCAATAAACCATCAAAAAAGTCAGAAGTGGGGGGTAGTTCAAATGGTAGAATGATAGCCTTGAGCAAAAGAAGCTCAAGAACAGCATCCAGGCCCCTGAGTTCAAGCCCCAAGGATGGGTGAGTGTGTGTGCGCACGTGCACGTGCACACTCACACACACACACACACACACACAAACACAACACACATGCTCAGGGTCAATGCCAGGCTCTGAGTTGAAGCTCTAGTACCAGCAAAAATAAGTGAATAAATAAATAAGAACCAAATGCAAACCCTCGAGCTGGAGTTCAGGCCACGGGGGCTGCCAAGTCTAGGAGTTCCAGGACAGCAAGCACAGCATAGTATCAGCCTGGCTCAACACAGAAAAGACAAAGGAAAACATGGAGACAGTATTTGGAAAGTGCAATGAATGAAAGGAAAAAGCAATCAGAGCAGAATGGAGACAGAGGTCAGTGGGGCTGAGGGCAGGGATGACGTGATAGGAAGAAGAAACAAGGCAAGTCTAGGAGATGTGAGACTGCGTAGGATCTAATGGGGGGGGTGGACTCTCAGGTGGGTGCGTGAATAATGGCCCCCCTAAACCCTGGGGTCTGTGGCGATGTTAGAAGTTGGGGCTAGAGCTGCTTTCGCTCAGGACCTCTGCTCCGACCTCCGGCTTTGGTTGCCAGGACTGGACGGGTGACCCCATTCCTGGGTGGGTCAGGTCGTGGCCCTGCTCTGTGGCCACAGGGGCCGACGTGCTCCCTGAGGTACTGCTGCGCGGCCCTCTGTCCTGCTCCGCTGGGGACATCACTGGGCTCCAAGATGCCCAAATAAGACAGAAAACCACTCAGCCCCTCCCTTCCTGGGAGCGGTGTCCCATGAGGTTGCCAGGGCCCGGCCTCCGCGCGCCCTTGGGGTGAGGGGCACGGAGCCCCTGCAGTGGAAATGCCACCTTTCAAGCCCGTGGCTGGAATGGAGGCCGGGCCAAGGGGGCTTCAGATGAATTTCCATTGGAGCCCGGAAGTGGGACCTGGAGGAACAGGGCTGCTGGCACACGGGGCGCGGGGTTGGTCAGCACTGGTGGACACGGAGGGGACAGCGCTGGTGGTACACGGGGCAGGGGGCACATGGGTGGGGCAGTGCTGCTGGTCAGCTCTGCTAGCAGGGGGTGGAGGAATGTCTCTGTCCCCCTGGCCCTGGGTCCACTCACCGCCCCCGTGGGCACCCCGTGTCTCGGAGGCCCAGGGTTCTGTGCGGTGTCACGGAGCGCCCCCTGATGGTCTGTGGGGAGCGGTGCAGGGACGGGTCTGGCTGGTGTGGACTTACATTTTCCATCCGGCCCAGCCCGTTCTGCCTGGCCCCTCCCTGCGCCTTCTCGGCAAGCTGATGTTTTCAGGTGTTTTGTTTGTTAGAGGGAAAGAAATCTAGGGAGGTCAGGAGCTCCTGACACCCGTTTCCAGTCTGCCCGTCCCCACGCCAGTCCCCTGTG